CCATCAATGGCGAAAAACAACTTATCACTCACAGACTAAAAATCCACTGTTATATTTTAATCCACTTTTTAAAAAAGCTGTTTTCCATCCATCTAAAAACGGCCTCGATGGCATTTTTCTCCACATCACCCTATCTCAGTATTTCCAGATCTTTCAGGACCTTGAGGGGAAAAGTGTGGTAAATAAAGACATTTAATAGTTTCTGCAAAGAACCATACACAAAACATTTCTATACTTATAGGAGGAAAGTATAAGAGCACCTCAGAGCTTAGGGGGGATACCGGTATATTAAAACACTACTTTCCAACTATGGCAAAGCCTGCAGTTCTAACACATCATGTGGAGTCCCCTGGAGGGCTTGGAAGAGTGCTGGGCCTCCCACTCAGCTTCTGATTCTGCCAATCTGGTCGGCAAGAGAATGTGTGGGTGCTGTTGGTCTCAGGGTCCTAGCGTGCCTGCTCTAAGCGTCTCCTCTTCCCCTCGCCTCCTCACTCCGGATCTTGCCAATATTCCTTTCCTTGGTGAACATCTTCAGGATCTGCCCCACTCTTCAAATACTGTGCTTGAAAAATTTATTCCCCACATTTGGCAATTTTACCTAGTGCAGTGGCAGGAAAATGTTTTCTTTGGGCCATTAAGTTTGTTTTGCTGAGCTTCTTACAAACTTTATAATCCACACTCTTCAGCCAAGATTACTCGATATCCTGTTTCTTTTCAATGTTGCTATTTGTAGGCATTTGATGTTCATCTGTTTTGTGACCATAACGTAGATGAAGGCGTCACTGGACCAATTGTGTTCAGTGCTAACAGCAAAACCCACCAATTTCTTCACCTTCTCCCTCTGTGCCAATTTTCTAATGGGGTAGAAACCCAACCTGAATGCTGTCACTGTCGGTCACTCCACTAACTGTCATGACTAGAGTGGGAGATCAGGAGATAAGGAAATACTGACAACTAAAATGGGCATTAACCAATGAAGCTGCTGACAGTAACAGCAACCTGCTTCCACAACCCCTCCCACCATCATACGAACCATGATACAGTCTATCAGCTATGCCCCAACCAGAAGGTAGACACAGCTGCCAGACAAAGTCACTCTGCTCTCATCCCAGCTCAAGGTAAGGTTCACCAAATATACAGAATGCTGAATACGGATTCTAACACTGAGATTTTTAACCTACCCAGATCCCCAGGAAACAAAAGCTTGTGGCTCAGAATCATGTAGTAAAGTCAAAATCAAGCAAAGACTTAACATGAATCATGCATCACCAGGAGCCTTTGCCTTGAGCCGAAGTGGGGAACCCATCACACCAGCCACGACAGTGCTCACCTAGCTCCCTCACTCAACACTGTGACTTGTCCGACTCTAGAGGACTTCTGTGATAACTCTGCTCCTGTACTTGGGAGCATCAAAACTTGCTGTGCTGTGGTCTAGACTGCACTTCTGGTTCCAAAATGCAGCGATATCTCAGATTCATCCATTTGGGATTCAGAAATAGTTTAATTACCTGTCTGAGGTGTTGAGCTTCACTTAGCAAAGGATGCCATAAGCATCACAGATTAAGAATCTTTATTTCAGCTTTTGGTCATTTTGTTGCCAAAATGGCCTTTTTTGCAGCCTGTCTGTACAGCCCAACAAAACAGTGTCACCTGAAATTTCCAATTATGCTTGGTTTCTATAGAATTCAAGGCCTATTTATTAAGAACACACCACTCAACAAAGATCATGCTCTGCTCCTCCAAATTTGGCACCAAAAAACACCTACTAATTTCTTCTGAATAGTTCTTACCAAAATGCAACAAAAGTTCTGATGCAAATGAAGTTGTCCCCTTTAAAACACTGAATTTGAAGTATAATCTCAAATTTTCTTGAACCTGTAAGCAGAATTACCCTTTATGAAAGATGCTCATGCAAGTAGATAATGTCTTGACTTTCGTCCATTGTGAAAAATACCCAAGACTAGGATCTAGACAGGCAGACTACACAGCATGCTGGGATAAATCAGAATCCTGAAATAAGGAAGAACTGTGGAACTCTGCTTCAGTTATTACTTTTGAGCAGATCATACGTATGTGGGCTCAAAAATTATCCTCAAAGGAAGTCAAGCTATCGGGTTTTCTTCCAACAGATTACAAAACTTGATTTTGAAATTATTTTTTTGTTGAAAGGTAACAGATTTTTCTTAATTTGTAACATTACACACTTTGCTGTATAAAAAGGAAACTTAAAGCTTAAGATTCGAAATACACTTGATTCTAAGGTTGGTCCTCTGGAATGGACTCATACAAAAAACAAGCAGAGTCAGTCAGTAGTCTTCTATCAGCATGCTCATGCAGCAGCTTTAAAGAAGGAGCAGAGTTTATAACCCTGTGTTGGAAATGTACTTGTGTGCTTAATGGCTATTCTCTTAGGCAATTAATTTTCTTTCCTGCTTATTACAGGTAGATATGGCATTTTGGGGCTTCCTGGTAGATCAGCTGGTAAAGAATCCGCCTGCAATGCAGGAGACCCCCGGTTCAGTTCCTGAGTCGGGAAGCTCCCCTGGAGAAGGGACAGGCTGCCCACTCGAGCATTCATGGACTCCCCTGGTGGCTCAGACAGTAAAGAATCCGGCCGCAACGCGGGAGACCTGGGTTCGATCCCTGGGTTGGGAAGATCCCCTAGAGGAAGGCATGGCAACCCACTCCAGTGTTCTTGCCTGGAGAATCCCATGGACAGAGGAGCCTGGGGGGCTACAGCCCATGGGACTGCACAGAGTCGGACAAGACTGAGCGACTAAGCACAGCACAGCATGGCATTCTGGGGTGCTCCCTGCTCAAAGTATTCAAAATATGCAGGGAAGACTGATCAAGAAAGAGGATATACAGCTTGTCTGGCATACTGTTTCAAAAATATGAGTCTCAGAGTGACTCAGTTCTATCAGTGAAAAACAAAAGATTACAACCCAGGACTAAGAAAGTCTGAAAGTCTGGGATTTTAGTCTTGGCTTGATTATGTGATTTGGGGTAAGTCACAAAGTTCTGTGACTATTCTTAACCCTATAAAATAGTAGTAATCACCTACCTTTTCATCACAGAGATATTTAAAATGTAAGTAAAGCTGTTCATATAAATTACTTTTAATCAGAGGTAAAAAGGAGAATTATTAGGTTATGTGTCATGAAGAAAAAGATGCTACCCAAACTACAGAGGTCTCAACAGGCCGTTGTCACAAGACTGATCTCTGCAGGAGCCATGGAGCTTACTGCAGAGAAAATAAAAGCATTATGTTCGTGGATTTCTCCCCCAAATCCAACAAATTCTGCTAGAGATGTGTGCCTCAGGACACTCCTGGGACTAAGTAAGAATGCACATATGACAACAGAAAGCTGCCTTCATCACTAAAAACAACAGAATAGAGCCCCTCTGTAGCCAACAGACCGTGCTCCCTATACTGGCACGGGTGCGGTACGGGTGCAGCCCATGAGGCAAGGAAGGCCACGCGCCGCTACAGCAGCGCCCGGGTGGCTCCCAGGGAAGCTGGGCTGGCTTGAGCACTACCCCTCACTCCGTAACCTCCACCTGCCCCTCGCTCCACCACACCCCTTGTTACGGACGTCGGCCAGGTTCTCAGTCTTCGATAAAGTGCTACGGAAACTTAGCTTCCGGTCCCCCTTGCCCACCGGATTCACACCCACCTCACTGACATGGACCACTGACGAGGATAACAGTTTTCAAAGGACTACAATGGAGCAGCCCACCGTTACGTCCTGTGTGAGAAAAGAGGCACAACTGTGCTTCCGAGAGGGGAGGCTCTGTCCCACCAGGTGCTGGCGTGCGAGGTGCTCCAGAGCGTCACCAGAGCAGTGGGCACTTGAGAATGGCTCCTGTGTATTTCAGAGGAAAAGCACTCAATTTGTACCAAAAAAGAGCCCTTCTGCCAACCAGGTCCCGGGATGACAGATACTCTTGATGATACTTTTTTAGAAAGGGTGGCTTTTCTCCAATAGCTGTAGGCAGTCACGTATTCCTCATTTTGACAAAGGATCATCCAACTTCAGGCATGGCTGTATATATAACTCCACAGGCAGCTAAGCCGTCATAAACACGCCAGGTATAAAGCCATGTCGAAAAGACATTTTTCCTCCCCAAAGTATGGCCTCAAGAAGCCATTATTATAATAGAGTATGAATTTCTGCTACAGGTTATTGACCTATAATACTAACAATAAAAGTCTCATTTAGTACATAAAGGCTTACACTGTGACATGAAGTATTTAGACACAATTCACTGACTATTTTAAAATTGCTGTATACCTAAAGGACCTTCTTCATTATACCAATCTGTGTGTATATATATAGATCCTCTTTTGGTAGAACACAGACTTGGAGATGAGGCAACATACAATGCAGCTGCTGGCGATTCCAACAGGCCATCTAGAAAAACAGAATAAGTTCCCAAGGCCCATGCTGCTGGTGTCTCTTCTGAGGCATCAAATTAAGAACGTTCTGGATTTATCTTATTGGCACTCTGCTTGAATCAAGACCAGGCTCAAAGGCAAGCCTTATCTCCTGCAAGTTAATTCCACACATAGGTCTTAACTCTGTGTTTGGAACTGACTGCAAATTTAGAACTTCCTCAAATGGTATTAAAAGCACTACACAAAAAATACACGAAAGCAGTTACTGGTTTTTCAAGAAAAACAAGACATATCTGCAAACATCAGCAGCTGTGTAACAGAGCTGTAGGTAACTGTCGGACAACAATAGCAATTTAACACATACAGCATTGGATGGCCTTTTTTAAAAAACTGTGGTCTCAATACTTCATAATAATAAAAAAAAGATCTGCACAACATGATTTTCTAAGAGAAAGAGTTCACTTCTTTGTGTGAAGAGGAGTCAATCCCGATGGTGAAAGGACTGGGAATGTCAATTAAGATATGCAAGACAATATAATACAAAGTCTAATATTTGTTTCAACAACATCCAGTCAGCTCCTGGTGGGTGAAATACTGCGGTCTAGCTGTATCCAGGGCTCTTTTCCTGTGGCATTTTAAAAAACGTAGCTGCAGCTGAGTCAGTGGCTTTCTCTGTGGCAGAGGTCCTCACCAGCCACGCAGAGTCTGGAGGTCTGGGTGCCTGTGACACTGGTGTGGCTGACTCCACTGCATCCATGTGAGCTGGGGTAAGCGTGTTACCATTAAAGTAAAGAGGAAAAAAGTCAGAGAGAGACAAATCAGAATGAGAGCCATGTCAGCACAAAACTTTCTTAGTCCTTGTATTTTATGTCCTATTAAACCAAGCAGCTACACAGTTACATAGGGTTTCTTTTTTTTTTTAACCAAAAACTAAAGGCAAGATTTAAGTATGATAAGTATTTCTCCACATCAGAAAATAGGTTTAACTGAATAAATGAATAAATTCAGGAGTACAAATTCTTAATGTACTAATAACCACTTATGAAGCATTTACGTGCCAGAAACTGTACTATATAAACACTGCATACTTAACAATCTTATTTCTTTTTTTTTTGAACTGAACATAGGTTTAATATTTAGTAGATGCACAATGATCAAGAAATTATCATTTTTATATAGTTATTCTTCTGGCCTTTTGCAAAGTTCATTAATTAACCCAATGGTACATACAATCTTATTTCTTAATGCAAACTCTTAGAAATAGGTATTGCCATCTCCATTTTTTGGGGGTCAGAAAACTGAGGCATAGAGGAAGCAGATAATTCATTCAGAGACATGGCTGTTTAAGCAGTAAGACTCAAAATCATATACTAGACTCCAAGCCCTCTGCTCTCTCTATAATGTTCCATGCCTCCAATATGACAGTGTCACCAATGAACACTGAAAAGTAAGGCAAATGGTAGAAAAATTACACAGCCAGGCCATCTGTTTTTCAGCAAGGACATTAAGACATTCTGGACAGGATAACCACTGCTTGTGCAGGGCTGTCCTATTCCTTTTAGGACACCTACCCTTCTGGACCCTATCCCTGAATGCTCAAAGCATTCCCAGTCACTGTGATAATCCAACACTGCTCCCACATTTGCAAATGCCCCCTGAGCAGAGTAGCACAAACCACCATCACTCTACTGAAAACAAATATACACTAAAATAAAGCAAAACATTAAAATTTTTCATTTTTATCCTGTCATAATAATTCTACTCCCAGGAATATAATCTAGAAAAGTAATTTTCAAATTATGGGTCACAAAACCAATGTAGTAGGTCGTGACAAATACTTTTTTTTTTTCTTAATGAAAAAGAACAGAAAATATCAGAGGGCACCCAAAGGTTTATTTCAGATTTTACAGGTACACCCAATATATATTCAAACATGAATTTCTTACTGTGAGTTATCAGGAAAAAAACCGAAAGCTATTACTCTATGGCACACATACAAGTTTTTTAGAGGGCAGTAGTTTTCAAACAGTTCAGAACCTCAACCCCAGCAGCAAGAAATACATATAACATCATCACCCAAATCTCTCTTTTTCATACACAAGTATGCATGCTCATTCATTCTTATATAAGTGAGAATAAATTTCATAAAAACTACCTACCATTACCACAAGGTCATCAACCATGGGGAAAAAAACTTATCTGAGAAAAACTTTTTGTGTTGGCTACAAATATATATTTATTATGGCAAAATACACATAAAATGTACCATTCTAGTGACTTCTAAACATACTCCTCAGTAGCATCAGTACATCCACACTGTTGCACAACCATCACCACCACCCATGTCCAGAACTTTTTCTTCATCCCAGATGGAAATTCTCAACTCATTAAACAATAACTCCCCATTCTCCTCCTCCCCCAGCCCTTGGCAGCCACCATTTTACTTTCTGTTTCTATGAATTTGATTTGTTTCAGGTACCTCTTATAAGTGGAATCAAATAACATTCATCCTTTTGTGTCTGGCTTATTTTCCTTAACACACTGCCTTCATTCATATTGTAATGTGTGTCATAATTTCATTCTGATAATGAAAGTTTTCAGGTTGAATAATAACTTATTGAATGTATAGATCACATCTTGTTTATCCATTCATCCAGTGATGAACATTTGGGTTGTTTCTACTTTTGGACTACTGTGAATAATGTTGCTATGAACACAGGTGTACATAATACCTATTTAAATCCTTGCTTTCAATTCTTTTCGGTGATATATATCCAGAAACAAAACTGCTGGATCACAGGGTAGTTTTATGTCTAAATTTTTGAGGAACCACCAGACCTTTAGAGCAGCTGCACTATTTTATAATCCCACCAGCAATACACAAGGTTTCCAATTTTTCCACATTCTTCAAACAATGTATGCTGTTTTTCGTTTTTGTTTGCTTGTTTTGATAGAGCCATCATAAGAACTGAGAAATGGCCAAGAAAAACTTTTGCGTATGTTCTTCCACAGAATGGTGCAATACCTTCCCCACTAGCATAAACCAGCTTAAGAATATGATTGAAATGTTTATCAAGAATGATTAACTGTAACATATTCATCATGCTCAGAAATGGAATACTATACATATGGCAATAATGAATGGATTCTGGTAGGATAAAGTGTGAATGAATCAAGAACTAGGTGAAACTTGTAACTTATAAAATATGACATTCCATTTACAGAAGCTTCAAAAAATGTAAAACTAAACAATATAATGCTTAGAGATACATGTGTCTGTCAAAACTATTTGAAAACAACAAAGAATGACAAATAATTAACCAAAAATATATACCATTTGTTGCAGCATGTGATATCTTTAGTTGCAGCATGTGAGATCTTCAGTTGCAGCGTGTGAACTCTTGCAGTTGCAGTGTAAGAGATCTGGTTTCCTGACCAAGGATTGAATCCAGGCGGAGTCTCAGCCTTGGACCACCAGAAAAGTCCTGATGCTCTTTTTTGTAAAGTAGATGGTGGGTACATGGATACTTGTATTGTTTTTCTTTACACCATGTATATATTCTATAAACGTTCTTTTGCGGCCATTCAATATTTGTTTTCAAAAACATTTTTAACTTAAAAAACATTTAAACCTAATTAAAAGGCATAGTGGGCAATAAGAATCTGCTCTATGACTCCTGAGACAAGGGCCAACCTAAAATGGAACTACTGAATCCAATCACAGGGTTAGAATAATATTGAGAATAACTCTGTTTTAAAGATTCTATTCACTTAATTCATACATTAAATATCTAAGGAGATTGTTCTATGTGTGGAGTACTGTTTTTTAGATGCTGGGGTATAGCAGTGAGTAAGACAGGTAAAACTTCCTGCCCTGGTGAATGCACTGTTAGCAATGGCTGGCCTGGTATCTGAAATCTTATACAACTAATTAACAGGTTAACTGTTGGGTACCCTTTCAAGGACACATATCCTATCCCAAGAAGGTCAAAAAAGGCTCTTGGAAGGGCCAATATAGTCAGGGCTTTTGGGACTTCCCTGGCAGTCCAGTGGTTAGGACTCTGTACTTCAGTGCAGGGAGCACAGTTGGGAAATTCAGATCCCCACCCTCCCACACACAGAAAAAAAAAGTCAGGACTCTCAACAGAACATCTTGTCATCCCAATTCTCCATCACTTAAGGCTATGTGTTTACCTTTTGAAAAAAATGGAATTTGCACACCCAAAGCTCTGATTTGCCACTGTAACGAAGAAAATCATCACAAGATAAAGAAGTCTTGCTTTCATCTGAGTTCCTTATCCTTCTTTTAACTACTTAAGTCTCTCAAATTTTCAAGAAAATAACCCTTTTTTCTTTTCCAGTTGCATTCTTTAAGAACACACACAATGGCTGGTTGACTTCAGCATAGGACAGACGGTGCTGGGCATTCCCTGTTCTGGGGTATCAACCTTACAGGCAGGTTAATGCACTCACTCACTAGGGTCCAGGGTGGACCCCTGTGCACTAAGCACAAGCATGTTTCAAAGCCACAGAGGGAAGAGGAGTGGAAATGGATCTACCCAATGACCCCACGACAAGGTCCTTCTCCCTGGTCTTTGTTAACATTAATACAAAAAGACAGGAAGGCACGTTTTTCCTTTTTGTTCTTCACCTTTCTAGTCTTATTAATATCTTTAAATCCAGTCAATTTCAACTCAAAACTTTCCACTAATGGGGGAGGGGGAAAGGGAAAAGATTTGTGGCTGCATGTTTAAGAAAGAAGCTGAATTCATCACGGTGACAGGGGAGAGTGTTGGCAGAGATCTGAGCTATTTATTCTTTTAGGAAAATCCTATAAAGAATGACACAAGGAAGCCTCTATCTGCAGTCGTGTTCATCACACTGGTGAAGAGTCCGATAACAGATGTATGCAGGAGCGTGATTTAGTGCCAGGAGCTGGCCCCTGATGTGTATTAATACAGCGGCAAAGCGGAACGCACCTCTCTTCATCACTCATTTCTATAAAAGAGGTGGAATCCGAGATGGCCCAATGTTAGGCAGAGCAAGCCCATTTGTTCTACTGACTGATGGCGCGGGCTTGGGCTATGTCCTTCACCTCCATGGGGCACTCAGGTTGTGGATAGGGGAAAAAAAAATGTTCAGTGAAGCAGGCCTTAGTCAACAAGTGAGAGGAGCTGGGCTCAGCAGGGGAAATGTTTAAGGCTCAAGTCTTCTTAAAACCTCCCAGTACACTTCCTGATCTGAATATGGAGTAAGGATTGTGAACTCTTCTCAGCAGTTCTGCTATTATCAGCAATTAAAAGCTAAAAACATGAGCTAGATATCAAGGGGGGAAAAAGAACAAAAAGATGAAAAGGGGAGACTATGTTTCACTGCTTCTATTAATTTCACAGACTGGATGAAGACCTGGGTTTTGACATGGAGTCATGGTTTGGAAGCAATCCTGTCATATACAAGACCAAACAGCTGCCGTGTTTAAGAGGGCAGCTTGAGAGTCATAGGGAAACTGGACTGATTCTTGGTCTACAATTTATCAACCATGTAACCTCAGTGACTATTTTAACCTCTCTAAGCCTCAATTTTCCTGTGTGTAAATTGGGAATTAAAAACAGCATCTCCCTTGTTAAGTTGTTGCAGAGATTAAGTGAAATAATTCAGACAAAATGTTCAGTTCATGGCATGGACATGTGAAAACTCACTTAAAAAAAAAAGTTTCCTACAACCATCAGAACTGTGATTGAGACTGTTCATTATGAACCACTATCAAGTAGCCATCCAAACAGAAGCTTACACAGGTCAATTTCAGAGTATGCTGAAACTTACTAATAAGTTAGAGAGATAAGAGTTCCTATCTGTCTGAGGTCTACTCTTTTACTCAGGTATCAAGTGCTCTGATCTATATATTATTGGGCTGGACAAAAAGTTCGCTTGGGTTTTCCCTTAAGCTATAATGGAAAAATCTGAATGAACTTTTTGGCCAACCCAGTATCTATTTTCTGAAGAGAATAAAATAATTTATGATATACTCAATTCCCTCAGAGTGAATTCACCATCAGTAAGAAAATAACCATAAGTACTTCTGATAGGTCCTACAAGCTGATATGGTCTTTTTAACCAGACTGTTGCTGCTGCTGCTGCTGCTAAGTCACTTCAGTTGTGTCCAACTCTGTGCGACCCCATAGATGGCAACCCACCAGGCTCCCCCGTCCCTGGGATTCTCCAGGCAAGAGCACCGGAGTGGGTTGCCATTTCCTCCTCCAATGTATGAAAGTGAAAAGTGAAAGTGAAGTCGCTCAGTCATGTCCAACTCATAGCGACCCCATGGAGTGCAGCCCACCAGGCTCCTCTGTTCATGGGATTTTCCAGGCAAGAGTACTGGAGTGGGTTGCCACTGCCTGCTCCGTTTGACCAGAGTAATTTATCCTAAAATGTATTGCAATATATAAAGTATTTCCCATGATTACTAATTACATTTAATTATCTTAACTCCAAAGAAAAATATCTACAGACATCCAATATTCTTGATGATATAAATGTATAATCATCCCCCCTTTTTCATCTAAGGCTAACATACATACAGAGCACCTAAATCAATGAATCTTTATATGTGCATATACTCATGTAATCCCCACCTAGTTCATGATATAAAGCATTTCCAGCATCACAGAAAATTTTATGTCATCCTCTGGTCCCTATCCTATACTGAACATAACTACTATTTTGGTTTCTATAACTAATTTTGCCCAGAAAACATTTAAGTCTTAACTTGAAAACTTAATTAGAAATTTCATGAATAGAAAAATATTAGCACTCTATAGACATTAGAACAGTGATAATGTATTGTACTGTACACCAAACATGAGAGTAAATAAACCCATGTGGCTCCTTCACTACTGACTAAACTGCCACTCTATCAGGGTTTTCATTACCACACATCTAACTTCCTGTCTGTGCTGCAGAAGTGCAGATGACTCCAGATTGCTGATGGTGAAATAGAGGGATTCAAACTCAAGAAAGCATAAGACAGTGAAAAAGCACAGACTTTTGGGTCAGAGAGACTTTAAGCAAATTACTTTTCACATTCTCAGTTTTCCCATATAAAATGGGAATAAAATGACCTACTTTCTCATAAAGGTGAGATGAAAAGGTGTATAAAACATATAATTTAGTGCCCGACACACAACAGGTGGTCAATAAAGGATAACTACATATATAATTACCGGCATTTGGGCTGGACAGAGACGCTGTGGCCACAGGTTTCCGTTTCCTCTTGATGTCACGTGAACATGGGGGCCCCAGGTGTATGTTTGCCTGCCTACAGATACGAGGAAGAAAAAATACTGCTTTAACTGTGTAATTCTTATTGTAAGACATTATATTCAGCCCAGATGAAACTCCTCACCCATTATAGACATATACTAACAAAATGGGCACCACCCTTTGCCATCAAGTGTCAGTACAAGATTATTTAGAATTAATCCTAACTTACTCTTTACACACGATATATACCCATTTTAAACTTATTACCTGAATTCAGAACAGACATTCAAGATTAATTTCAATAAATATGTGCTTCACTACATGCTGGTTTTGTACAATTATTTTTCATAAAAACCGCAATTGTTCTAAACTTGTTAATGAAATACTTACTCCCAAGTGGTAATATATTGAAAAGTTTAATGCTGCATGAACACAGACATTTCCATAGAATTTTAATGGCAGGTTTAACACTTCTATCAGTATACATCTAGATTTTTAATAGTGACTGTATCACAAAATAAGTTTAGTTTCTGTGATTTTAAAAAATATTAATTTATGTGCTAACAATAGGTTCCCTGAAATAAATAGTCAGCGTATTTAAAAAAGAAAAGAGTAAGAATTTCAAAGCTAGAAAAGCAAAAGATTCTCTGAAAGGCAGTGGACTTAACACTGAAATTGCTGGCAGGCAATTTTATTTAATTTTTATTTTATATTGAAGTATAGTTGATTTAATATCTGTCAAGATGGCACTCACCAGAGCAAGACCCAGTTTTACCCACAGCCTGTCACCAGGAAGCTTCTACAAGCCTCTTATCCTCATCCATCAGAGGGCATACAGAATGAAAATCACAATCACAGAAAACTAATCAAACTGATCACATGGATCACAACCTTGTCTAACTCAATGAAATTATGAGCCATGCTGTGTAGGGCCACCCAAGACAGATAGGTCATGGTGGAGAGTTCTGACAAAACGTGGTCCACTGGAGAAGGGAATGGCAAACCACTTTAGCATTTTGCCTTGAGAACCCCATGAACAGAATGAAAAGGTGAAAAGATGACACTTAAAGATGAACTCCCCAGGTTGGTAGATGCTCAATATGCTACTGGAGTAGAGTGGAGAAATAGCTCCAGAAGGAACGAAGAGGCTGAGCCAAAGCAAAAACAATGCCCAACTGTGGATATATATGGTGCTGAAAGTAAAATTCAATGCATGTTAGGTCCATACATCAAGATAAATTGGAAGTGGTCAAACAGGAGATGGCAAGAGTGAACATCAACATTTTAGGAATCAGTGAAATAAAATGGACCAGAATGGGCAAATTTAATTCAAATGACTATTATATCTACTACTGTGGACAAGAATCCCTTAGGAAAAATGGAGTAGCCCTCACAGTCAACAAAAGAGTCTGAACTGCAGTACCTGGATGCAATCTCAAAAATGACAGAATGATCTCTATTTATTTTCAAGGCAAACCATTCAATATCACAGTAATCCAAGTCTATGTCCCAACCACTAATGTCAAAGAAGCTGAAGCTGAACAGTTCTGTGAAGATCTACAAGACTTTCTAGAACTAACACCAAAATAGATGTCCTTTTTCATCATGCAAAAGTAGGAAGTCAAGAGATACCTGGAGTATCAGGCAAGTTTGGTCTTGGAGTATAAAATGAAGCAGGGCAAAAGCTAATCGTTTTGCCAAGAGAACACACTGGTCATAGCAAACACCCTCTTCCAACAACACAAGAGAAGACTCTACACATGGACATCACAAGATGGTCAACACTGAAATCAGACTGATTATATTTTTTGCAGCCAAAGATGGAGAAGCTCTATACAGTCAGCAAAAACAAGACTGGGAACTGACTGTGGCTCAGATCATGAACTCCTTATTGCAAAATTCAGAGTTAAATTGAAGAAAGTAGGAAAAACCACTAGGCCACTAAGGTATGACCTAAATCAAATCCCTTATGATTACATAGTAGTAAGTGACTAATAGATTCAGGGATTAGATCTGACAGAGTGCCTGAAGAACTATGGACAGAGGTTCATGACATTGTACAGGAGGTGGTGATCAAATCCATCCCCAAGAAAAAGAAATGCAAACAGGCAAATGACTGTCTGAGGAAGCCTTACAAATAGCTGAGAAAAGAGAAGCAAAAGGCATAGAAGAAAAGGAAAGGTATACCCATCTGAATGCAGAGTTCCAAAGAACAGCAAGGAGAGATAAGAAAGCCTTCCTCAGTGATCAATACAAAAAATACAGGAAAACAATAGAATGGGAAAGACTAGAGATCTCTTCAAGAATATTAGACATATTAAGGGAATATTTCATGCAAAGATGGGCACAATAAAGGACAGAAATGGAATGGACCTAACAGAAGCAGAAGATATTAAAAAGAGGAGGCAGTAATACACAGAAGAACTATACAAAAAAGATCTTCATGACCCAGATAACCACGATGGTGTGATCACTCACGTAGAGCCAGACATTGTGGAGTATGAAGTCAAGTGGGCCTTAAGAAGCATCACTATGAACAAAGCTAGTAGAGGTGATAGAATTCCAGTTTGAGCTATTTCAAATCCTAAGAGATGACTCTGTGAAAGTGTTGCAATCAGTATGCCAGCAAATATGGAAAACTCAGCAGTGACCACAGGACTGGAAAAGGTCAGTTTTCATTCCAATCCCAAAGAAGAGCAATGCCAAAGAATGTTCAAGCTACTGCACAATTGCACTCATTTCACATGCTAGTAAAGCAATGCTCAAAATTCTCCAAGCCAGGCTTCAACAGTACTTGAACTGAGAACTTTCAGATGTTCAACCTGGATTTAGAAAAGACAGTGGAACCAGAGATCAAACTGCCAACATCCACTGGATCATAGAAAAAGCAAGAGAATTCCAGAAAAACATCTGCTTCACTGACTATGCTAAAGCCTTCGACTATGTGGATCATAACAAACTGTGGAAAATTCTTAAAGAGACAGAACTACCAGACCACTGTACCTGCCTCCTAAGAAACCTGTATGCAGGTCAGGAAGCAACAGTTAGAACTGGACATGGAACAATGCACTGGTTCCAAATTGGGAAAAGGAGTACATCAAGGCTCTATATTGTCACTCTGTTTATTTAACTTCTATGCAGAGTACATCATGTGAAATGCTTTGTTGGATGAAGCACAAGCTGGAATCAAGACTGCTGGGAGAAATATCAATAACCTCATATATGCAGATGACACCACCCTTATAGCAGAAAGTGAAGAATGAAGAAGCCTCTTGATGAGGGTAAGAGAAGAGTGAAAAAGCTGGCTTAAAACTCAACATTCAAAAAACTAAGATCATGGCATCCAGTCCCATCACTTCATGGCAAATAGATGGGGAAACAATGGAAACAATGACAGACTTCATTTTCTGGGGCTGCAAAATCACTGCAGATGGTGACTGCAATCATGGAATTAAGACACTTGCTTCCTGGAAGAAAAGCTAAGACAAACCTAGACACTGTATTAAAAAGCAGAGACACTACTTTGGCAACAAAGGTCCATATAGTCAAAGCTATGCTTTTTCCAATAGTCATGTATGGATGTGAGAGTTAGACCATAAAGAAGGCTGAATGCCAAAGAACTGATGCTTTTGAATTGTGGTGTTGGAGAAGACTCTTTGAGAGTCCCATGGACTGCAAGGAGATCAAACCAGTCAATCCTAAAGGAAGTCAACCCTGAATATTCATTGGAAGGACTGGTGCTGAAGTTCCAATAATTTGGCTACCTGATGCAAAGAGCCGACTCATTTGAAAAGACCCTGATGCTGGGAAAGATTGAAGGCAGCAGCAGAAGGGGACGACAGAGGATATGTTGGATGGCATCAGTGACTCAATATATGTAAGTTTGAGCAAGCTCTGGGTGATAGTGAAGGACAGGGTAGCCTAGTGTGCTGCAGTCCATGGGGTTGCAAACAGTTGGACACGACTGAGTGACTCAACAGTAAATAGCTGATTTACAGTATTGTGTTAACTTCAGGTGTACAGCAAAGTGATTCAGTTATACATATACACATAGCCATTCTTTTTATTTTTTCCATATAGCTTCTTACAGAATATTGAGTTCTTTGTGCTATACAGTAGGTCCTTGTTGATTATTTTATATATAGTAGTGTTCACATGTCAATCCCAAACTCTTAAATCTATCCCTCCCCCCAACCTTTCCCCTCTGGTAACAGTAAGTTTTCTATGTCTGTGAGTCATTTCTGTTTCATAAGTATAGTTCATTTCTATTGTATTTTAGAGTCCACATAAGTGATATCATGTATCTGCCTTTTTCTGACTTACTTGACTCAGTCTGATCATCTCTAGGCCTATCCATGTTGCTGCAAATGGCATTATTTCATTTTTTATGGCTCAGTAATACTCCATTGTGTGTGTGTGTGTGTGTGTGTGTGTGTGGTACACGTGTATTTTCTTTATGCATTCCTCTGTCAATATACATTTAGGTTGCTTCCATGTCTTGGCTATTGTAAATAGTGCTGCAATGAACACTGAGGTGCATGTATCTTTTTGAATTACTGTTTTCTGCAGATATATGCCCAGGAATGGGACTGCTGGACCATATGGTAATTCTATTTTTAAGTTTTCTGAGAAACCTCCATTCTGTTTTCCAGTGGCTGCACCAAGTTACATTCCCAACAGTGTGAGAAGTTTCCCTTTTCTGTACACCCTCTCCAGCATTTGTTATCTGTAGACTTTCTAATGATGGGCTTTCTGACTGGTGTGAGGTGGTATTTCACTGTAGTTTCAATTTGCATTTCTCTAAGTATTAGTGATATTGAGCATCTTTTCATATGCTTTTTGGCCATCTGTATGTCTTCTTTAGAAAAATATCTATTTAGATCTTCTGCTAATTTTTTGACTGGGTTGTTTATTTTTTTGATATTGAGCTGCATGAGCTGTTTGTATATTTTGGAGATTAACTGCTTGTTGGTCACTTCACTTGCAAATATTTTCTCCCATTCTATGGGCTGTCTTTTCATTTTGTTTATGGTTCCCTATGCTATGCAAAAGCTT